CTTCTTCTTTCCAGTTCGCAATTCACGATTCTCATTCGGTTCGTTTTACTGCCACTTCACTCCGGCTAACCCCTGCCACGCCCCCTTTTGTGCACCCTTGCCTCCCGGTACAACTCCCCCTTTTTTGCAGCACCACCCACACACGCCAAAGTTGTGTGTCCTTGCACGCTCGTTTGCTGTTCGTTTTGTTGGCCTGTTCGTCCTGTGTGCGACAACCCACGATTTCTCCGCCTCTTGTTCTCTCCTCGTCCCACTCGCTTCCTCGCCCTTCCCTCTTTCACCACCCTGTTCGTTACACGCCCCGTTTCGGTTCAGAGTTTACATTTTATGTGTGTCCTTTTTTTTTCGCACAGTTTTCTTGCCCAGGCGAGAGACCCAACACCTCCCAATTCTACCTCCCAAAATTTACCACTCCCTTTTCAATTTTCCTCCCGAAAACTGGTTGGCAATATATCCTTTAGGATAATGTATTCCCGCCTGAGAGCAGGGCAAAACAAGAATAACAGAATCGGCGCAGGGTTTTCGTTTCATTTCCAGTGGGCTTTCTTATTCCAAATATTGTTTACAACTTTTACACAAAGAAAATAGTTACTTCAACACTCCTGTAAAAAAAAGTTTTGGAACAAACAAAGTTCTGTTTCCTTAGTCCTTACTATTAAAATAAAAAACTTATGTTTATCGCAAATTTATTTATAAGACTGCGTAGAGCCGTTTGCTTACATCTATCGAAGCTGTAAGTTTATGTTTTGACAATGACAGTATTTATGGATAACTTTCAATTTTCAATAGAGTAATTGACTTAATAGACAGCTAGACAGTTTCTTGTAACAAGTTTAATAGGTGGTATAAAACTTTTCCAGTAACTTAATAATTAGTATACTAGTTGCAAACTGTTTAATATAAGTGTGTGAATACATGTATTTAAAGTTTTGATATTTTAAAAAGTGAAAATATATTACACACTGCCTTACTTTTACCACTTATAACCTCTAGTTAAGTAGTTTATTTTCATTAAAAGCTCGTAAGGCAAACATTTTGTTTGTAAAGCCTTTATTTCATACACAATTTCAAAGCTGAGAATATTCCGATAAAATAAATTCTGTGGTAAATCGTTTAATTGTAGCATTTGATGAAATTAAACGATTATGCATATTTTATAGCCCATTTTAAGAGGTGAAAATTGAATGCATTTACCTAAAGCGCTTCAAAGGCAGCTCGAAAATGGCAGATGAAATTGAACGGAGGCAGATAGCAAGACAGATTAAGGTTCATGTATAAGGACGAGGAAAAAGGACGCTCTCTTTATACAGACTTTCAGATTAGGAGGGGGCATTTAAAGAGGAAAGTCAAATTTACCAGTTGTATTTTGTTTTTAATTGCTATTTTATTAAACCAAGTCCCGATTTTTCATTTTTTATATACATTATATTAAAGGTAATTTAACATTATTTTTTACACTTGAAAGTACTTTTAAATATAGAAACTTAGGGTAAATTTTTTTGAATGTAATAAATAGTTATAATGTAATTGTTATTATAATGTTGATGAGAATTTTTTTTATAAATGTTTTGGGATTTACCGAGAAAGGAGCGCTAAAAATCTGAAAAGTCAATGGAAACTAAAACGCAGAGCCGTAATTGATTGATAAAAAAGTAAAAAAAAGAAGATGAACTGGAACTTGTTGCTGCGCTGAAGTGGTTACTTTTCTTGTTGTTGCTGCACTCGATCTGAAGGCGTTGCAGAAGCGTTGAAAGAGGAGGGGGTTCAAGCAGGAGGGGAGGAGAAAAACGAGACTAAAGATCGCGCCAGACGATGACGCAGACTGCAGGCTTGTTGGACGCTGAAAAAAAGTGGCCGGGGGTATATGGCTTTTTGAGTCAATAACCTCACTCACTCTACAAGAAAACAAACGAGGAAGAGTCAGAAGCACTCACATTCTTCACCTCTCTTTCTACCGCTCACTATGTCTCTCTTTCGCACACCTTCCCACATTGAAGGGGCCACCGACAATAGGGCAAAAACAGTAAGAATCAGAAGTAGAAGAATCTGCAGAAGTAAAGTCAGAAAGCCATAAGAACCGAACTTTTACCTAACATCTTAAATACACAATAATTCTGTTTCTGATCAAGAAATTAGGAAGTAATTCTTAAGCCACAACTCGATCAATAGCACTTACTTACCTTTTACTGCATTTTAAATCGGAAATATCTATTAAAACAACCTGACATTGCCAACGATAAAATTTTTCTTAAAAATTTTTTCCCACTTTAAAACGATAAAATTAAAATGCAATAACATTTTTAAAGAAAAGAACAAATTTACAAAACCTTTTCTTTTGTTGTAAATTCTGTTTTCTACCAATTATAAATAATAGCGTTGGTATGGTAGTCATGGCAGTAATAGTAGTCAACGAAATTTATAAGGTGTTGAACAAATAAAGTGCAAAACAGGAATAAAGAAATTCAAATTTCCATGCTAAAACCCTATATTAGTAGTGATTTTAAACCGATACTTAATTCCACTTGAAAAGAATTCAAACTTTGAAACAAAACTAAAAAACTTATAAAACTACGATTCCATTTGTTTTTCAAGCAATTGATTAGCTTTTCGAGCTTATTGACCAAAGAAAAAACAGCCGTAAATTTTTGTTTAATGGCAAATCAAACGAATCGGCGGCGATATCTGGGTTTGTGTGGGTATATAAGATACAACACGAAGGCAAACACACACATGGGCACAAAAATAAAACAACAAAAAGTCAGAGGAAAAAAATACAACAAATAAAAAAGAAATAGAGGCAACTCATGAGCGATGGACAGACAGTCGGCCAATTGAGCTAGAGAGAGAAGATAATCAAGAGCAAACAACAATGGGTATTTCAGAGGGGTGGGTGGTAAAGGGGGAATGGGCAGGGTGTGGAGTGGAGTGGAGTGACGCCAGCACAATATGAGAAGAATTTCACATTTGTTCGCTGCTGTCACTCACAAATATTGATGTGAAAAGAGAGAGGGAGAGGGAGAGGGAGTGAGGAGAGTCAGAAACACACACACTGCAAAAAGAAATAGAAACAACAAAAACAAGAACAACGCACACACCTTACCAATCGCCTCCGTCGACGTAGACTGCGCTGCCGCCCCCGCGACGTCGGCAGAAGCAGCGAAGTGTGGCAGTGTCAAAGACAAATGCTCGAATCATATTGCTTACTCCCTTTCTCCACCTTTCACCCTCCCACTTGCGGTTTGGGTGAACCCAAAAGCAAAGCCCAAGTCGAAAAAAGAAGAAGACCAAAGGCAAAGTTTTACAGTGCTACTTCCGATAACACCAATTTTATGTTACTTTGAAGTGCAAGTACATTTAAAAACATTGTTTTGCATAAAACTACCTCTGAGTCGTTTAAATTAATTTTTTTGTTAAAAATACCATTTATATTAGCTTAGGAAATAGAAAAAAGTTTCCGATAATAGTCAAAACATGGGCTTAACTTGTACTGCAGCTTCTTGATTACATATCTATGAAAATAGTTTCAAGCCATGTTTCACTGTACCAAGTCGCCCAGTCCGTTTGTTTTATTTCTTTCTTGTTATAAATTGGCAGCGCTCTTTTGCAGACTCCCCCCTCCTTTTTCGTCTTCTGTTATGCTCCCCCACCCCTAATAACAGCGCACATCTGTCGCCTGCCGATGCGTAACAACAAAAAAAACCGAATGAAAGCAGGAAAAAAAGAGTGCGCAATTACTGTTATTAGCGGCCACAGTGGTCCCCACCTTAGCGGCCTAAACGTTGCTTCATTAAAGTGATTAATACGGGTAAAACTAATAATAAGTAAAGTAACGACGAAAAGAAAAGTGCAATTATCAACCACTGTGCGTGGCAACAACAAAACGGCGGAGCGTCCTCTCTCTTCCGCCCGCACTGTCCCTTTGCGTTTCATTTCCACTGGTCCGCCGCCGCTTGCGGTTCTTTTGCTCTCCGCACTCTCCACACGCTCATTCGCCGCGAAATCACAAACACAGACGGACGCGTCGCCGAGCGGCGCTTGTAAATATTTTGTTAATTGTACATTTAAATCGGAATAAATCGCGCAAAATGCAATAGCCAGTGTAAACAAATGCCGTAAACTGCTGTCGCAGCACAAGTAATATAAACAAAGGCAATTAACAGCCTAAAACGACAGCAGACAGTTTGTCTGTTAAATCTCCAAAATTAAAAAAAAACGAGAGAACTTCACAAATTTCATGAATGAATTTGCTCAAGTGGTGAAAAAAACCCCATACTTAAAAAAAAAGTGCAAAATGCCGTGAACGGAATTTTTTCTCTTTTTTCGCCTTCTGTATGCATTGCCTGCAGTCTGCGTGTGTGTGGGTGTGGGTGACTTGGATTTTCTTTTTATTTCTTTTGCTCTTTTTTATAAGTGGCAGTGCTAAATGTTGCGCATGACTTGGAAAAGTTCAAGTTTTCTTTGCTTCGCAAGGGAGATTTTTTCTTATATTGTTTAACAAAATGCAATTTTGTGCGTAAATTTTGAATTCGCCACGGAGCTGCGCGTTGAATTCGCCGCTCTGCCTATAAAGTGCAGGTGTATTAGTAAAGGAGAGCAACTTCTGCTTCCGTTTTGTGCGTGTGTTTGTTTGTCTCTCTCGCTGGCTTGTAGTTTTTTTTAGTTTTGTTTTGCTTTCCATATTTCGGACGGTTCTGCTTTGTGCTCGAGTTTTGCCCAAGCGTAGCGGCATTGCCAACACAGAGAGTGGAGTAAAAGGAGAAGAGCGAAAGAAGTTGGAAATTGAAACCGATTGATGAATTGTATCTTTGAGTTTGAGATAACAAGTGTTGCTAATTACAGTGGCTATTCCTTATTTATTGTTAAATAATTTTAAACATAACTGCAATATTTCAATTGCTTTATTATTAATTAATTTTTAATTACTAAGTATTTTCGTTATAGACAAATATGTTGTTCAAATATTCTAATAATCCCTATAATTGATGTTATCTTTTTTTCAGACATTAACGCATGTAACGCACAATAGTTGGTCCTAAAAAACTAGGAGATTTTGAACATGAACAAAAATGCCGGCGATGGCAGCGATGGCAAAAACTCAAACAAAAACTCGAATGCGGGAGGGGGTGCTGGAGCCGGGGGGCCACATGATCCCACCGGCCTTCTAGATGCAGCTTCCCTCTTTGGTAAGTCATAATTAAATGTGTTATTATAATTTGATTTTATTACTATTGTATATGGGTGTGCCTCAATTTTCAGCTTACTGGGGACGTGATCCAACTGGAGCGGCAGCTGCAGCGGCTTCCAATCCGCTGTTCAACTCGCAGTTCAATGCCGCCGCTGCTGCGGGATTGGGTTTATTGCCACAAGCCGGAGGCGCTTCTGCAAATGACCGCTATTCCATGGCCGCTGCAGCGGCGGCGGCGGCGGGCGCCCATCATCACCAGAACACGATGGCTGTGGCCGCTTCCCAGGCCGCCAGTTTGGCCGGTTTGCATCCAGCAAGTGAGTAAAATGTCGGCATATTCCGTATTTTAGTAGTGCGCCCGAGATGAAGAAATGTGTGACGGTATTAAACAAGCGACTGCTTTGGTGTCGAGCTTTTAAGCAACGGCTGCCCATGATTCATCCTAAAAATTCGCATTAGTTTGATTTTTGCTTGCTAAATATAAAATTTATCGAAGAATGAGTTCATGTAATTTATATGGAGCTATAACAGCAAATGTCTTGTCTATCGTGCAATGCATTTGAAGAAAATACTCCTAGAGCATTACTTTTAGTAGCTTGCTGTTCGCTTTACACTGCCCAAAATACTTGTCCCTGAGCAGGGCAGTGACAAATGGTCAAGCACAAATATTTTGCTATATTTTCTTTAATGTTTTTCAGAGTATAAGTAAAAAAAAAACAAAAATAAATTAAAGTAGAGCAAAATTGTTTTCCATATAATGTTTCTAAAATCAATTAATATCAAATTTTGATACATTAAAATAAAAATATTATTAAAAAGAGGTTGATTGCGAAAACTAATTAGTTATAGTAATGTTTATTAAAAACAAAAGACTCTTTTACGACCTAAGAGTATTTCCTTTAACTTATTTAATTTAAAAATTAATGAAACCTTTATTAAATTACGAGTCAAGTCGCTGCAAGAGATACATTTTTATTGCAAACCCCTTTCTAACCCACTGTATAATCCATTTACAGGCTGGTGGTCGATGGCTCAGCTAGCCGCCCAGGACTATTTCAGTCGCCTGCAGGCCTCGGGCCTCTCACCCTTTCCCCATCCCGATCTTGCGGCTGCCTTTGGACCAGCTGCCATGGGAATGGGCGGTGGTGGTGGCGGTGCGGGTGCCGGAGGCGGAGGAGCAGGGGTTCTCGGACAAGGTGGCGGTGCAGGAAATGGCGGGGGAAGTGGCAATGGTGGCTCCTCATCCAGTTCCTCGGGCAGCAAGTCAAATAAGTCTCGCAAAGAGAAGCGAGCTGCCCAGCAACAACAACAGCAACAGCAGAGCCTAGCCAATAGCCTAAATGCGGCAGCAGCGGCGGCAGCAGCAGCAGCTGCCAATAATCCAGCAGCGGCGCTGGCCAGCATGCACGGGTTTGGAGTAGGAGTTCCGGGAACCAGCATACCATCGGTGAGCACTGGCAGCGGTTCGATATCCACCAATAGCGGAGGTCACGGTGGCTACAAGGTGAGTTGTGATAACTACTAATGGAATTATTAAAACTAATACTGACATTTTTGTAGAGCACGGCCAGCGCTTATGGAAAACCCTCAACCATGACGAGCAGCAGCATGGCTAGCAATCCTGGCTCTGCCTACGATCCGGTGACCCTGCACAAGGAGCTGCTGGCCATGCAGGCCGTGGCAGCCGCTGCTTCCGGCTCGGGATCTAGTAGTTCGTCTGGCAAAAAGTCCAGTGGAGGTGGCTCTTCCTCCTCCTCGATGCATGGCCATGGCTTGGGAATGGGCAGCGGCGGTGGCCTAATGTCCGGTGGCAAGGCATCGACCAGTGTGAGCGCCAGCAATTCATCGCTGGGAGGAATGCATCCCAGTCTGGCTAGCAGCAATCCGCTGATGTCGCCACACGCTGGATTGGGATCCGCGTCTTCTTCATCTGGCAAGGATCGGGACAAGAACAATCCCTCGCTAAATGCCCTCAATTCGTTGTCCCAGTTCGGTGCTTTGGGAATGACGCCGCAGCAGAGCATGCAGGCGGCAATGAATGCGTTTGCGGCCAGCACTGGAGTGTCGCCATCCGCCACGGTCACCTCCTCGCCGCATCATTCCTCCCAGCAGCAGCAGCAACAGCAGCAGCAGCAGATGGGCGGCAACAGTTCCACGTCGGGATCGGGTGGCAAGTCAAGCGCCAAGGACTACATGATGGGGTAAAAGAGATTATTAAATGTAAAGTTTACAAATATTTATAAATCCTAAATGTATTATCTCTCAGCAGCACTGGTAGTGAGCACCCTTCTCTGCTCGGAGTTCGTTTACCACCGGATACGGAGATTATCAAGTACACGTCCTCGATTGTGGGACCCAAAATACCGGGTACTACCTCGCGTGGTCGCAAAAAGACTATTTCCGAAACAGAACAGCAAACAACACAACAACAACAACAGAAACAACAACACCAAGCAGAACAACACCTACTCCAACAACAACAGCAACAAGCACAAGCACAAGCACAGGCACAAAAAGAGCTGGACAGCACAACAAATGCCATTTCCTCTCTGCTTGCATTTCCAGGGCTCAGTCCCGCGAAGCGGGCTAGACTCGAAATGGAGTATGCGGCAATGGCGGCAGCTGCCCAACAGCAACACCAGCAGGCTCAACAGCAACATCAGCAGGCGCAGCAGCAACTGCACGGCATGCTGGGAGCAGCCGGAATCCCCGGAATGGCTGGCCTTGTCGGCCTGCCGGGCATGAGCGGTAATCCCCTCGATCAGTTGAGTGTGAGCAAGGCCAGTTCCTCATCGGCGGCCACCACCAGCACCAGTTCCTCATCGGCAGGCGGCAATCTGCTCAACCAGAGCTCCAGTGATCGCGTCGAGGTGATCAAACTGCCACCAACCATCACCTCCAACGGGGCCTACAATCTCTCCAGCAAGGGAAAAGAGGTGCACGACCTCACCACCGATCTGGCGCCCACTTCTGGAGGTGTGAATCTCAGCCTCAAGGCCAATGCCAACGCCTTGACACCCAGCGGTGCCGTGGGCTCAGCCTCCAATCCCATCACCATCGATGACTTTGATGCGCCACTCAATCTTTCCATGAAACCCTCGGACAAGAGCAACTCTAGCAGCTCCACAACTCCGGCAGGAGGAGCTTCCTCCTCGTCCAGTGCAGCATTGGCCGGTTTGGCCAGCGAATATCAGGCGGTGGCCAGTGGTCAGGGCGGAAATAGCCTGCAGAGCTTGAGCTCGATTACGGCTGCCTTGGGAGGAACTGGCGGCATGCCAGGTGGTTCCATCTCGGGCAGTGGAGGAACTTCTCCTGCTCCGGCAGGCGCTGGCACAGGAGCCTCTGGTGGCTCGGGATCTGGTTCTGCTGGAGGAGGATCGTCGTCTTACAAGGAGGGAAGGCCTCGCAACCTGGGACGCGGTGTATCCAAGCCCAAGAAGAACACGGTGGCTTCGCTGTTGGCTCAATCCCGCGCAGTGGGTCTTAAACCCATGCTGGCCACCCAGCAGCTGCTTCAACAGGGTGCCGATATTGTAAGTTAATCGTGTGAGAGACCAATGCAATTTGTTTTAATACTAATTTAACTTTTCCAGGAGAAGATCCGCCTGGCGCTGAGTGAGGCCAATGCCCACATGGAGACCTCCACGGATTCCGAGAGCGTGGCTGCTGAGAGTGGTCTTTCCGAGTCGGAAAGTGAGGATGCCAATATCCTGAATGTGGCTGAGCTGAGGGTGCCATTGGAACTGGGCTGGAAGCGGGAGACCGTGATCCGTGGACTGACCAAACAAGGTCAAATCCGTGGCGAGGTCACCTATTATGCACCTGGCAGCACGGCGCCTCTGAAGAGCAACGGACAGGTTTTTGCTGTGAGTTTGTAGGGCGACTTTTTTGAATATTTCAACTCATGGAACACTGAAACGATAAAATCATAAACAGCTAATTTATATTTGAATCTATGTATAGACATCATTTAAACATACACTATAACAATTGGCAACAGTAAACACATTTATTACATAATCTCTGCCAACCCTACTAATTTCTTGAACTCTTCACAGATTCTGGAGCAGCAGCCATCGAATCTAAGTCGTGAGAACTTTAGTTTCTCCGCGCGAGCCATCGTTGGTTCGTTCCTGCAGCCCGCACCACCGCCGTATGCCAACGATGGCGAGTACATTCGGATGACGGACGAGGATGTGGCCAAGCGGCTAGAGGATCTGAAGGTCTTCACTCGCCAGACACTTAACGTGGAGCAGCGCATCGAGATTGCCAAGCAGCAGCAGGCGATGCGTGATGCCAAGAAGCTGCAGAAGGAGGAGTTGGCCAGGAACAAGGAGAAGGCGCGCCAGGAGAAGAACTCCAAGCTGGAGCAGCAGCGCAAGGACAAGGAGCTCAAGAACCAGCAGGCAGTCGAGGTAATTTCAAAGTTCAAGCTTTGTGAAGCTTATCTTCTCATGCAAAAACCTATTTTTTTAGGAGCGCAAAAAGCGGCAGGAGGAGCTAGATCGCCTTAAACAAGAGGAGCTGCTCAAGAAGCAACAGGTCAGTCTAGTTTACATTCGGCTGTCCACAATCAGTGCATAATTATTGTTTTATTTTGCAATAGGAGAAAGAGAAGCGTCGTCAAGAGGCCATTTTAGCTAAGGAACAGGTACTTAATGCCTTACCTTCTGTCCGTTTTGAATTGGGGTAGAAAAGGGGCTTTCCGAAATGTTCTTAGTTTTTGGCATCACTATCCTAAATTGTTCTAAAGAAATTTTTACTAAGTATACTGATACAAGGCAAGAGACTTGGGCTGTTAACTTAGATATATTCCAAATTTAAAATCTAAATTTATGGTTCTCAAAGAGAGATTTCGTTTATTTTTTCGATTTAACTACATTCCTCTTGGTAGTTTAAGGGATTTTATGTTGCTGCTTTGCTGATTTATTCATGTTTGGTATTCACTTTGGCCCAACATTGCCTTCTCAGTGTCACTTGACCCTTTTTTATTTAATTAACCCAAAAACCTATTTGTTTTATAAATTTAAATTAGGAACTACAGAAGCAGAAAGAGATGCTGTTGGCTGCCGAGATGGTAAGATATCTAGAACTCTAAGTCCAGGTTTAAAGACAATTTGTTAATCTTTTCTATCGTTTCTTTAAAAAGGAACGCGAGCGTCGTCGTCAGCACATGAGTCTCATCCGGATGCTGGAACTGCGTCGCAAGTTTGAAGAGCGTGAAAAGAAGAAGCACCAGCTGGTGCTGGATAGATTGCTCCTCCGTGAGCGTCGCATGGCGGAGCGGAAACGAGATGCAGAGATTCTGCAGTTGATTCGGCGGCCCAACGAGGATTCTGAACTGCCACAAGATTTGGTTATTCCAGAGCTGGACAGGATTGCGGGCAACCGTCTGCCCGGCCAGGCGATGGCCGATCTGCTGATGGTCTTTGAATTCCTGCACAACTTTGGTGAGACTCTGGGCTTCGACATGGAGTCGCTGCCCTCGCTGCAGAACCTTCATGATGCCCTCATCAGCGATAGCAGTGCGGACGCCGAAGAGGAATTGCTGTCGGTGATGACGCATCTCTTGGTTTGTGCCATTGAGGATCCGGGTGTTCCCAATCCCGGTCGCCACACCACTTTGCTGGGACAATCGCTTCGCAATGCGGACATTACAAACTCGAATGTGTCCGAGATCCTGAGGATCTATCTGTATGCCACGGCCACGGGAGAAGTGCGCCAAATGCACGGCATCACTGTCGATCGCGAACGCGAGAGAAGAGTTCCCGATCATCACCAGGTAGATGCCGATTCCGGCACTCACTCGCATTCGGCCAAGAACCAGGAGTACTACAAACTCCTCCACGAGAACGACACCTGGAAGCTGTCGCAATCGCTGAAGGATCGCCCCTTCGTGGCATTGAATCCCACCCGGAAGGCCCAAATGCTGGCCCACCTTTGCAACGATCTGCTGATGAACAAGGCGGTGCTGCGACAGATCGATGGCAGCCTGGAGACCTGCGCCCAGATGCGCAAGGAGAAGTACATGACGGACATGAAGGTGCGCAAGTACAAGGCACTCCACATGCGCAAGGCTCGCATCGAGGCCTATGAACGAGCCCAGGCGGAACGCGAGGCAGCCATGCAGGCGCTGATGGCGCAGCAGAAGCTGGATGCCGAGCGTCTAAAGGCGGAGGAGGAAGCCAAGGCGGCAGCAGCTGAGGAAGCAGCAGCTGCGGCAGAAACAGATGGTGCTGAGGCGACCAAAGGCGGCTCAGCCAATGGCGAGAAGTCGGAAGATCAGGAGGATCACGATGAGCAGGCGGTCACCAAGGAACCCCAGCAGCAGCAGCAACAGCAGCAGCAGCAACAGCAGCAGCAGCCCATGGAGGTGGATGGCAGCGTTGTCGATGAGGAATCTCTTGTTAGCCCGGCCAAAAGCATCATCCAAGCGGACAACAGTTTGACGCCCAACAAACAGGACATGCCCACGCCCACCTATCAAATTAATGGATCCAGCACACCAACAACTAGTGCAACTGGTGGCGAAATGAGTGCCCTGTTGCAGGCCAAGAAAAGCGGAGCACGCAACTCGATTAACGATGAGCACCATCATGATGTAAGCATCATCGACGATGACCTCTCCGACTTGGATTCAGAGATCACGAATGTCGAAGAGGACGAGGACAATCGCTTGAGTGCCGATGAGTTGCAGAAGAAGCTGGACAAAATAGTGCGAGCTTCGCTCAACTGCAAAGAGGCTCTGGAGAAGAGCACCAATCAGCTGAGGGCGGCCTGCTTTGGACAGGATCGCTTCTGGCGTCGCTACTGGAAGTTGCCCAAGGCGGGCGGCATTTTCATTGAAGCTTTGGAGTCGGCTCAAAACGACATTTGCGGCTATCACGAGGCATTGGAGGGCATGGATGACAAAAAGGATGGTGCTGGCGAGAAGATGGAGTGCCCGGAGAATGATAAATCAGCAGATTCGGAGCCCACTGAGCAGCCCATGGAAGTGGATGAATCTCTTACCCAACTGGAGGATGGAGTTCCAACTCAGAATGCAGAGCCCTCTGAAAATAATCAACAGAATGCTCATCAAGAAGAGGACGATGACGATGATGATGTGACAGAAATCAACAAGGTGGAACCGGAAATTGTTGACCTGGGCGACGATGACGATGATGCAGCACCGCCACTGCCCAAGATAGAACCTCCCCGACCCGAGATCAAGGTTAAATCGGAAATGGAACTAATGGGTCCGCCGCCGACCACCATGATAGCCACCAAGACCGACTTTGAGGCGGAAATCAAGATACCCACCATGCCTGGCATCCTGATGCCGCCCACTCTCAACAACAACAACAACAGCAATAACAATAATAACAACAACAATGGAAGCGACAACTGTGATAAGTTGGAAACTGGTTTGAATCTGGGATGTGGAGGACAACAGCAGCAAGCGCAGCAGCAGCAGCAGCAGCCGCAGCAGCAGAACTTTGGCCAGGCCGTGATCAAGATGGAGGATATGAAGAAAGAGGATGACTGCATCATAGTGTCCACATCCAGTGGTGACGATACACCCAAGTGGTTCTCCATTGTGCGCCGCGAAGTGCCGCTGATCAGTGAACTGCCAGCGGAGGAGGGCGGCGTGGTGGGTCAGGAACTGCAGAATAGCTTTGCCAATCACAATTGCTCCGCTCAGCTGCAGTTGCAAGGTCATCCCTGGGATCTGATCAACAACATGCAGTACTACTCCATACCCATGGACGAGTGCAAGGTGGACACCAGCAAGCTGGGCAACGAGTGCATCTTCTCGCTGAGCGGCCTCGATGAGAAACAAATGCTGGCCAAGGTGGAGGAGTACAAGGCCCACAAGGTGGAGTCAAAAAACGGTCTGGGCTCTCCTCATCACCGCCACCACGAGACTGAAGATGATGGGGAGCAGGCCAAGCTGAAGTTGGATAAGATGATCGACACCGAAACGGACACGACGGATGCCGATGAGCTGGCTCGCAAGGACAAGTTTTTTCGCTTGCGCTCTGATGCGCCCCCGGACACGGGAGGAGGGGCCAACGAGGGAGCCGATGTGAAGCCCAAGATTGAGCTGCGTCTGGACGAGGCTCTCTCGCAGGCCTACTACCACAACATAGCCAACATGTCGTTGAGCAGCGTGCAAACGTACATACCCATAGACATTCCTCTCCCACTTTCCATGACCCCCGATGAGCATCGTCTGCTGGAGCAGGTCAAGTTGGCTGGCTTCCCCGAGCGCGTTCATGGCGTTTATGTGCCCCGCCGACAGCGTTACGGCTGGTGGCAATTGGACGATGAACAAAAGTTGCGACAACTGCTCAAGACCCTCAATCCCTCCGGCTTGAGGGAGCGTGAGCTGCAGGAGAATCTGCAGCGTTTCCTTGGCCTGGAACAGCCATTGGGTGTGAATTATCAAATGAAATCGGACACCGAGTTTGCGGAGGAATTCCTAATGCCGGACAAGAAGGGCGATTGGAATCCCAAGGTGGCCAAGCGTGTGGAACTGGCGCTCATCGAGCAACTGGAATCGCTGGAGGATAAGGTGGCCAGTGCATCCATGCAATTGAAGAACTGGCAGCTGCCCAACCGAGTGGAGAGTGAACTTACTCTGGACTCGCAGGAGGATGTCAGCGAAGAGGATTTCGTGAGCATTATACCCATGATTCGGGAGAGGATTATCGATTTGGAGGCGAACATCGAACGGCGTTACTTGAAGCCACCGTTGGGCTCCCAGACGGGCGATGCCCATTTGGCGGTGATTGCCCAGAATCAGCATACCACCACCCAGACGCAGAATTCCGCATCCGCGGCAGCATATCTCCTGCAGATGCAACAGCAGCAGCAGCAGCAACAGTTAGCCCAACAGCAGCAGCAGCAGCAGCAGCAACAAGGATCGGGAACTGGCAACAGCCTGAATCCCTCGTCCTTCAATGAACGCACAATGGCTCTGGCGGCAGCGGCAGCAGCTTCGGGAACAGGATCCTCCACAGCTGCAGGAGGCAACACAGCAGCCGGAGGAGGAGTAACCCCCTGTGAATCGGGCAGTGGAGAACCGAATTCTGGGAATGCATCACCGGCCAGCAACTGCGACAGCGATCGGGATGAGAAGGTGGAGCACATTCCCAAGGGATTGGTTCAGTGGCGCGATGCAGTTTCCCGATCGCACACCACCGCCCAGTTGGCGATGGCCCTGTACGTCCTGGAATCCTGTGTGGCCTGGGACAAGAGCATTATGAAAGCGGTAAGACCAGGAGGGTTTTGGAAACCATTGGAATCCATTAGAATCCATTGGAATCCTTTGAAACCTTTAAAAACCCCCCCAACATAAAACCGAAAACCTGCTTGGCACCCGTCCTTTTTTTGTGGTCCATCTCATTGTTATTTTGGCTGCACACACTAACTAACACCCACTACTCACATCCTCACATTTTTGTACACTTTCGCATTGCATAACCATTTTATATTTAACATACTAACCGTATTCACCACAACTGAAACGAAAGAGTTAAAAAAAGGGAAAAGAGTTCAGTTCACGAATATTATTTTTCAAAGAAACATAAGTTGTTTTTTAATCAAACCATACAATCTTTTCTTTAGTTATAAAATTCAAAAGTCAATTGTTTATTTTTACAAATGTATTTAAAAAAAAGTTATTAGGATCGCTTTAATTATTTTGAGCTTAGATATGGTTGATATTTTGTTTTTTAGATATTTTTTGGTAATGCTTGGTAAGAAACTAAATTTAATATTAATCGTTTTAGTTAAAAAATTTCTATAAACATAGGTGTTCGTGATCGCACTCTTGTTTAATTTTGCATTGTAGCTAAGTAGTTTCTAAAGCCCCTATGCATCTCAAAAAAAAAACTGAAAATTGCCTGTGAAATTAATTTAAATTTTGTTTGTTTCTTCTTCCGGTTTTATTTTTCTTTCTTAACTGTCTCTTGCTGAATGTTTGGCTTGTTTGTTGCTTGTGGTGTTTCATGGTGTTCTGGTTAAAAACAAATATACAAATATTTAACGCTCTTGTACTCACACAAACACATACATAATCCATACCCACATTCCTCACACACACACACACACACACACACATACATACATGAATGCTTTTGTTGCCCGTTACCGTTTACCGATAACCGTTAAACCCCTTCCAAAAAAAAAAAAAAATCCACCAAACCCACCACGACTGTTTTCCCCACCCCACCGAACCGTTTCGAACTGTCATCCGAAAAGTATGCAACAAGAAACAAGTCCAACAAAAAGAAGAGCAGCGCCAAAAAGCAGGCAACACCCGTGAAAAAGCAGCAAAAGAAGAAAAAGGAGCAGCAATCAACAGCCAATGGAAAAAAGAAAGAAACCGCAACCAAAAAACAAGAGAACAAAGCACCACTGAGCATCAAAATCAACCTCAAGGCTTTGGCTCAAAATGGGAAGGACGCGCGGGAAGCCCAAACCAAACCCCTTATCCAAACCCTGTCCAAATCCAAATCCCCATTCCCATCCCCATCCCCATCCTCCACTTCAAACACTAGCGACTCCGACTCGGACTTTGGCAAACGGACGACGAAGAAGAACGGAGGCGGCGGCAGCAAACGCAGACGCTCCTCGGCCAACAATACAAACTCTAGCAAATATTCCAATTCCTTACAGAATTGCCAGTTCTGCACGTCCGGCGAAAACGAGGACAAGTTGCTACTGTGCGACGGCTGCGACAAGGGCTATCACACCTACTGCTTCAAGCCCAAGATGGACAACATTCCCGATGGCGATTGGTGAGTACCAGTACCAGTACCAGTACCAGTCCCCCTATCGATCTATCTCTACATACATCCTCCTCATTCCTCACATGTCACATGTCATCAGACTCTAAAAAAATAAAAAAACACATTAATCCGCGTTGTCTTGTTAAGCGTTAATCGTTGATCGTTAACCGTTGAGAAAAACTGTGGCACTGTTACTCTCTGTCCCTCTCTGTCCCTCTCTGTCCCTCTGTTCCCGCCTCTAGATACAATCTTCAATTGGTTTATTCAAATCTTTTTTTTGCCTACTTTTTGCAGGTACTGCTACGAGTGCGTGAACAAGGCCACCAATGAGCGCAAGTGCATCGTCTGCGGCGGCCATCGTCCCTCGCCCGTGGGCAAGATGATCTACTGCGACTTGTGCCCACGCGCCTACCATGCCGACTGCTACATTCCCCCGCTGCTGAAGGTGCCGCGTGGCAAGTGGTACTGCCATGGCTGCATCGCCCGGGCGCCGCCACCCAAGAAACGCAGTGCTGGCGGCACGGCCAGCAGCAGCAGTAAATCCAGGAGGGACAGGGAAAGGGACTCTGGTGGCTCGGCCAAGCGGCGCAGCGACAACAGCAAGACACCGCAACAACAGACCATGGAGCACATGCAGCAGCAGCAGCAACAGCAGCTCCAGCAGCAGATGCCACTGGCAGGCGGGGACTCGCACCACCACCATCATCATCATCATCATCATCATCATCAACATCAGCAGCAGCAGCCGCCGTCGCTGAACTCGTCGCACGATGAGTCGATGAATTCGCTGCCGGCGGCGCCTCTGAGGTGAGTGTGGGGGCCTGCGGGCGGCTGAGGGGGCGGCGGAGTACACGGTCCGGGTTCCAGTTTATAATGCCTCTGCTCTCTGCAGTCCGGCGCACTCGGTTGCCTCCGCAACGACCTACGATGACCAGCATCATGCCAACAACTCGGTCGACGGCAGCAGCCGCTTCCAAGCGCATCTCATCCCCCCCGCCCAATAATGGCACGGCTGCGCTGCTGGAAGATGTGTCGGCCGCCAATGCCAGTTATCCGGCCTATCCGCCAGTTGCGGGTGGCAATTTCTCAGCTGGATTGATTAACCCGGTACCAGTGCCGGTATCGGTATCGGTGCCACCAGCCATGCAGTTTGCCAATGTGGTGGCCATGTCGCCACGGGCCGTCACGCCCACTCGCACACGAACGCCCACACCGACGCCAGCGCCCACTCCGCCACCACCACCGCCGCCGACAGCGCTGCTCATGCAGGCCTCGCCCACAGCCGGCGCCGCCGCCGCCCTCCATGTAACCGCCTGCCAGTCGCCGCCTCAACAGCATCCCCATCAGCTGATGACCATGCCCTCGCCACCGGCCATTGGAGTGGGAACGGGAACGGGAATGGGAACGGGAACCAATCAAATGTCGCCGCCACCCATCAACATACATGCCATTCAGGAGGCCAAGGAAAAGCTGAAGCAGGAGAAGAAGGAGAAGCACGCCACCAAGAAGCTCATGAAGGAGCTGGCCGTCTGCAAGACGCTACTGGGGGAAATGGAGGTGGGCATGGATTACTTAAAAACCTTGAAAAATAAACCTTAAATAATAATCTTTTCTGGCAGCTCCACGAGGACTCCTGGCCATTTCTATTGCCAGTAAACACCAAGCAGTTTCCCACGTATCGCAAAATAATCAAATCTCCCATGGACTTGTCCACGATCAAAAAGAAACTGTTGGATTTGAGGTGAGTAGAGAGCTAAACTATAGCCCTGATATAACTAACTTGCATTTTTTTAAACTTAAATAGCTACAAAACCCGTGAGGACTTTTGCGTGGATGTGCGTCAGATCTTCGACAACTGTGAGATGTTTAACGAGGATGATTCGCCTGTGGGCAAAGCGGGGCATGGCATGCGCAAGTTCTTCGAGTCTCGTTGGGGTGAACTGACCGACAAACACTCCTGATCCAGCAACACCATCAGCCCGCCGCAGATTCAAATGGCTAGCACCAAAAGCAGCATAGCCATAGCCACTGGCACCGCAAACACCACCACCACCACCACCACCACCATCCCTACCAACAAAAACATGGCCGGCACAGCCACACATCCCATTGAGATGGTCACCCTGATTGCAACATCGCAAGTGGAGGACGAGGGAGCCGTGGAGACGACAACAGCATTAACTGAAGCAGCACAATTTTGGTCAAGAGATTAGAGTAGATTAAGAAGAGATTGTACATAATTAGGGGGGATATTAGAAGAGACGGTTAGTTATAGTCTAGAAGCGCAGCATACACACATTAATATATATTTATATATAGTAGATATATAAACACCAACACACGAGAGTATTCAACGTCCTACGTCGGTCAAGACCTTTGAAAGAGGTAGCTTTGATTAAATTAAATCACCAGCCAAGGCGAACAACAGCAACAGCAACAACAGTAACAAGAAGTATGCAAGTGAAAAATTTAGTTTTTAGTATTTAGTTTTTTAAGCATCCCAAGGGCGGCAAAAACAGCAGCAGCAGTATAAACACTTACTATTAGCCGACATAAACTAGCAGTTAAAAAATCGTATCGATTAAGAAGCCATCTACAGTAGGCGCCCGGACAGGATGAACGCTGACAAATGACAAATGAAAACGTACAAAAACTGTCTACCAATTTCCGGTCCGATCCGATCCGATTCGATTCGATCGATCGATCCATCGTTTGAACAGTATTTTGTGCACAAAGCTGCGTCGCTTTGTTTTCTACACTTATAATTCTAACCCTAATTTTAAAGATTATTTTTAAAAGCACCAACGAAGCGCTCATTTAAGTTTTAAAGTGTATTTTGTACTTATAGCAACTCCGACATCTGTATTTAAACGTATATTAACTAGAACTTACAATTGCCCAGGCAAAATGCGAACAACTATACTCAAAAGGCGGTGCGAGGATGATTTGTAAATGTAAATGAAAGCAAATTAAAATTAAATGTATTAAATTATTTATTCTGTGTAAATTTTCCAAACTGTAGTTGGTACTTTCAATCGTAAATTTTGGCAAATCGCAAATACAACTCAAAATCAAATCGAAATTGAAATTCAACTTAAATTAACTAATCGACAAGTCGAGAAAGAGAGTGGAGTGGATGTGAAGTGACGTGAAGTGAAGTGAAGTGAAGTAAGGTGGACATATCCTAGCGGGATCTAAGCGCAACTCCAGGACAGTATTAGAGGCAGTAGGATACGGCAAGCGAAGCATCTGACATTTTAGCTGTATATAGGAGTTAACTCGCATACAAAACTCAAGCCGATGCAAGCAATAATGATTAGCCTATACAGACGGTGAAATTGTTGGGGGGGAATAACAAATGTTAAATATACATTACTATATACACAGAATAACAATTAGCAAAGCAATGATATTTACACGAACTACATTTTTGAATAAATCGAAACTCATTTGCAGTGCAGCACAATAATTGAATGAAATTGAAAACAGAATCATAGAATTGAGGAACGATTTTAGAGGGAGCGAAGGCGGCCAGTCAATAGTTTTTGCAACATGACGATAATAATTTAGAACACCAGACCAGAACTACCTACCTACAACTCACAGATAACAGCATATCCAGGCGAGCACAGAATTAGTTCAGCCAGAGCATGTATTTTTTAGCACAGTCATTATAGTTTGTAAAGTTTGTTCAATATTAAAATACATTATTTGGATCCGTGTTAATCAAACGACAGAGAGTGAGGAGTGAGAAAAGGATGCATTCGCAATGAGTTGCTTGTGTAAATAGGAAGCGAAAGCGCCCCCTGATGAAGCCATGCATGTACATTGTATATAAGATATAGATACGCATTAAGGCATAAGCTCCAAGTCCAACACCTTTCCCCGCATTACCGATCTGGTATGAGCATGTTATTGGCATTCATACAGTTGTGTCACTTCACTATGCAATAATTGAACAGCAAATAGCATTTGCCCCCAAAAATCCTAAATCGAAAATGAATGAAAGGGTCGATTCTGGAAGCTCCCCGCCATAACAATAACTGCATACATAATGGAATCTTGATTTGTATTTATGTGTGTTCGTGGTGATACAACAGATATATATACACATATAGAAATATATATATATATATTTTAAAATTATATGTACCCAACCTATGCATATGTGAACGTAACTTACTCATTAACAAATATTAAACGATGGATATACTCGATAACCAAGCATCCACATTATGATTGTGAGGGGATAGCCGCCAGCTATAACCACATATGCTAAAACAAAACAAAACAAATACTGAAAAATTACAAAAAAAAAAAATTCATACATTTTGGTGGGGCATTTTCGACATTTGTGCACAAGGAAAATATAAGTAAATCATATAAAACTTACAAAATAAACAAGTTTTTTATTGGGATAGTACAGTTTTGAAATGCACATTGGTAAGTGATATTAAACCTTTGAATAAGAGTGTTTGGAAGCTTGGAGCCACTCTTTAAATTTAAAGAAAATAAAATTTTCCATCAAACAAAACTATAAATACTGGAGAAGAGTCTAAGGTCAGGCTTTAAATAATACTTTTAAAAATCTTGTAATTTTGTAAAACGCTAGTTTCAATCAACTTACTTATGTATTTATCGATATATGTAAGTCACATAAATTAAAAAAAAAAAAAAACAGACCGATGGCCCAGAAGCTGGCTGCCTGACACGCTCCATCGACAGCTGACTGAGCTGATGCTGATCAGATCTGACCAATCCACATCATGAACCCATGTAAACCACAAGTTTTTAAGCCCTGGCCATTGGCTTGGGTTTACCGTTCCATAAGGGTCATGCTTCGTTGGCTTTGACAGGCCATAATCATACAAATTAAACGGGCAGAAAACGGAACAATCTGCATTTTAAAAGCGCATTAAAAACTCACCGCAACTGTCAAATCGGCGGAGATCTCAAAGGCGGACATTTACGACCGCTTCTTTTTATTTTTCCCATCCAATTCAGACCTTAAAATCAATCAAGCAACAGCATAAATCATTTCTTTTGTTACTTGTGCCAAATTTGAATTGCCGACAGATTGGCAAGCATTTGAGGGAGCCCTTTATTCGTAGGTGCGAAGTTTTTTTTACCAAGAAATCTTTCGGAAGCATAAAAATCAAATTTTGCTGTGGGAACTGCGGTAACCTGAGGTGTTAATATCTTAGCTGATTTTAATCCCCAACAATCAGCGTCCGCAAAGCTTGACAAAAGATGTGCTTAACTTTTTACCAGACCCGATTTTTGTTCGCCAGTATTGACAGTTGGAAACTCGAAACGCTTTAAAAATTGTTGATTTATGTAATTATTCGCGGCGACAAGAATTTCGTGCGCAGCACACAGCACCGAACGAAATAAAAAAGAGAACCCAAAAGTGGGAAAGGGAAAACTGCAGCCGAGGACCACGACTGGAGATTGGGTCCGCAGCTCCAGCCACATTATCAAAACATCATGGAAGATGACCAAATTAACTGCGACCCAACCGAAGACGACAGTCTGTAGCTACACACTGCGAGGAAACGGAAAGCAATAGAGCTTTATCGAAATGGTAAGTATAAAATTATAGAAATTAATTATATTTACGAACAATTTCTTTTATTCAAAAGCCTCAACTATTTTTTATTTTTATTTTATTGTTGTTTTTATTCCAGATCTACAAGACAAGTCTTATAAATGAATGCACTAGTCACTCTATAAAATAATCATTTAAATCTTTTCCTTTTTTTCTTTTGCTTTTATTTAATGGTTTAAAATTGTTTTGTTTAAAGTGCTAATTTTTAAAAAGTTTTTTTCTTTTCATAAATTATAAAAAAAGGAAATTGAATTGGAAGTAATGAACTCAACACAAGGTACAAGCTGATTCTAAAAGATTAAAAAGAAAAGAATATTTCTTACTTTCTGCAATTTGATTAGGTATTGAAGCTATAAATGTTTCGTTTTAATTTAAACGGCTTAAACACTTATTTAATGATTTTTCCCTGTGCAGATGCTTTTTTCAGCCCATCTTCATTGCAATGGCGACTACTTAGCGGGGCTACCTGGTCAGAACCACATCCCTGGACCCCTCTTCCTCATCCCTCAGTCTGCTGCTGAGGGCAATAAAATTGACTCCATCGAAATTAAGAACGAACCAAACAAAATTGTATTGAAAAGTCTTGTGGAACTGCAGTCGGGATGCGGAGGGGGCAGCCAACTAATTTAGTGCCCTGCACCGAAACGAGTTTGCCGCCGCTGCATCCTCCCATTCCACTCCATCCCAGATATACCCATATCCCATATATACATATGCATAAATACATATGGAAGCAGTCGTGGTTGTGGGTTCGTTGCCCAAAATGGAGATTTCGGAGCTGGTGGCCAGTCGTGGGTCTCATTTCTGATTTTGGCGGCCTCTTGATTGGGACATTAATTAAGACACAAATTGCTGTACCAAAATGTGCAGCCCAGGAAAGACACAATATCATTCGTGCATACCAAAATAAGTACACCAGATACCTACGCCATGCATATTTATGCTGCTTGGAAAATTAATGACAGCTCAATGGGGGCACTGGTTTTAAAATGGATTCCGGGCTAGTAGTAAGCTAATGAAATCGATAAAATGTGGGGAGGGTGACTAATTTAATTTAACCATGACCATGAATTCTTAGAGAAAGAAAAGAAAAAAGATATTCATTGAAGACATCAAAGAATTTCTTTGAAAAAATAATTCCCTTCAAGAAATATTCAGCTTTATCAAAGATTTAACAAATTATCAATCTTATATTTCGCTTTTGACTTGTGTAACACTTTTGTTTTTAATAATATTAAAAAAACAACAGCTGTAGGATGAAAATACATCTGAATACCTCCTGTCTTGAAATTTCCCCAACAATTGTCAGTTAATGCAGAAATGTCTCCTATATGTACATGTACATATGGAGGGCGGGGTAAACTGAAGGCCAGGGATCGATGGCTACTGACGATGCTGATGATGCCATCTGTGCCGGGCAGCCTGACATGGCAGTTGCTTGTCCTCCGCCTGCCGCCTCCTCCCCAATCTCCTGGCCATTCTCCACTCGACTCCTCTCTCTATTATCGCTTCGTTCCGATCGTCTTGGTGGTTTTCTTGGACCTGGACCTGGACCTGAAGCTTGGACTTGGACTTGGAGTTGGACAACATCATATTGGTGACACATGAACACGATTGCGGGCTTCCAGGCAGGAGTCAGTCTATAAAGTTGGCAAGCGGTTGCAGTTGCTGCCGTGCTGTTGCTGTTGATGTTGCTATTGCTATGGCTGTTGCTGGTGTGCAGTTGCTGTTGCTGTTGCTGTTGCTGGTTTGTCTGCCAGTATACAATGTGCAACATTTGCATTTTTTTAATTTGCTACAACTGCAACGTGCTGCGAGTGCAACTCCATCTGCGTTTCCATCTCTTTGCCCATCTCCATGTTGGCGTGCGCTCGCTTGGCTGGGTTAAGTTGAGTAAGGTCCGTGCCATTTACGGACCTCCTTTATCGGGAAATGAAAACATCAGGGCCCAGCCCCGGAGGCGTTTTTTGCGGCCCGAAAAGGAGCCACTCAGCCAGCAGATGGCCGGGGGTCGTCCTAAAGTTTGTCTTAAAGCTTGCACAGAAAAAAAAATAAGATCAGACCTCAGAAGGTCCATGTGATCTTGATCGAGGATTAAAAAAAATTTGTCTAATTCTACAAGATTTAACTAAAATATATGGTTAAAGATTATGTTATTATTATGAGTTTTTGAACGTGGTAAAATCATTTTTAAGATCATTTCGCATTTATTAAAGTCTTTTTAAACAATTTTTCATATCGAGAAAACAGTAAGGAAATAAGATGTTTATTTAAAAACATACGATTTGTGTATATGATATGGTATGGCATTTTATAACTTGAATTTTTTTAAGTTAAAAAGTAGAGCAAAGTGGTGTTTTAGAAAGTAGCGCAATTGTTTTGTA